TTCCTGGACTGCCCACTTCCCCTTTTCCCGTGCACCTAGCTCTCCATCACTAAGTCAAGGTCTACGGGCTCCGTGTGAGTCCATGCTGCCCACTTTCTAATCTAACATGAAACTCGGTTCACATGGGGCGAAGAACCGAAGGATGAAAGAAATGGAGAAATGCTGCCCCTTTCTTCCACTCTCTGTCTTAGAAGCTGTTATTCCACTGGGAGTCAGGAGCCAGGGAAGGCTCAGCTCGGGGCACTGCATGGGCTCTCAGGACCACCACGCACGCACGCGGGCCTGGGGTGGAGGTGTGATCTCTTTGGACCTTTACGCTGCTTTTAGCTCTCAACAACCTCACTGATTTGGCTGGGAGAAGCTAACATGATAAGCCCTCATCCAACAACAGCAAATCAAAACCTAAACTTTTTCAACTCCTTAGGAAGAAGCAGAAACTCTTTCTCTGGGGGTGGGGTGGGGTGGGCTGCTTTCATTCGCCGCTCCCTTCAAGCTCACAAGACACAAGTTCGGAGCATACGCACACTGTTGCTTTGCCCAGCAGGCCCAGGTTGTGGGATTTGACAACCCCCAAGGGACAGAAGAGGCTGAAAGTATAAACGGGCTTAGGAGAGGTTTCCATAAATTTGTGCTACGGGGCCATGAATGGGTTTGAGAGAGGGAAGCTGGGGAGGGTGCAGGAAGGAGGGGCAAGGATGCAGTGCAGCCCCCTTAGGACACATCCCTTGCTCGCCCCAAGGGTCGCATCTCTGACCTGCATTGCTCCTCTGGCGCCATCCTGCACTCAGCGACAATGTTGGCTGTAGGTGTTAGGGTCACAGCCGAACGGTGCAAATCCACTGTGACCCTCCATCTGCCCTAGACATTTTTTCTACTTTGCTAACTTTTCACTTGGGGGTCACAACAGTAGCTGACCACTTCACTTTCAAACCTGTTTTATGTGTGGAAGTGGACGGCCTCTCCTTGAGGTAGTCTACATTTTGGGTTTGTAGATATTCATAAGCAGTTACAGTTTAAAGGAACATAACACAATGATTTATTTCTGTCCTCTTCGACTCTTTGAAAACTGAAAGAAGATTCCTTTCCTTGCTTTGCAGTGACAAATATGCAGCGGGTTTCAATGAACTTAGTATAAAATAATTTACATACTTCATTTTTAAAAGTCTCATTTTTGGGCACCCCAACTTCAGCAAAGTTTAGTGTCCCTTTTCAGGCATGTAAAGACAAAAGGAACAAACAAAAAACCAAACAAAAACTTCACGGGAGGTTTCTGAAAATGGCTGCCTTTCCCGCTCTCATGGGTCAATTGTCAAACAATTAAAAATTAAGGCTAGGGATCGCCATTAAGGAGGCATCTGAACTGGGGGGCTTTGTGCATCCACGTTAATTTTGGTGTTGACCTTACTAAGTGATGGATCATTACTCCAGGGGCAAAAAGTAACGCTGCCTCATTGCAATGCGACGTCTCACTTATTCCTCAGCCTCCGACACAGAAAAAGCTTGGTGTTTAAAAAGTTAGCATTTGATAGGCAGCTCATTTAAAATTTCCACTTTTTGAAAAAGGGACATAGCTTTGAGGTGGAGGATCATTAATGGTACTTAGAAACCAAAAAAGAAACTGAAAAAAAAATCTGATTCTTGGTAGCATTAGTACCAAGTTCTGAGCCTGCGTTTTGCCAAACAGACTTTCATTTCCTGGCAATTCAGAGTGGTTAAAACAAAACTTATTCAACACAGAGATGTCGGTCTCTAAATTATCAAAATGTATATTACAGTAAGTCCCCTACATATGCTTGAGATCGAACAAAGTTAGCCTAGGTACCCAACTAACACAATTGGCTATATAGTACTGTACTGTAATAGGTTTATAGTATTTTTCACACAAATAATACAGAAAAAACTAACAAAGACAAAAAATAAAGAAATTTTTTTAAAAAAAATCATTGATTTATTTATTTTTGGCTGCATTGGGTCTTCACTGCTGCGCGCAGGCTTTCTTTAGTTGCAGCGAGCGGGGGCTACTCTTCGTCGCAGTGCGCGGGCTTCTCATCGTGGTGGCTTCTCTTGTTGCAGAGCACGGGCTCTAGGCGCACGGGCTTCAGTAGTTGTGGCTCGCGGGCTCTAGAGCACAGGCTCAGTAGTTGTGGTGCACGAGCTTAGTTGCCCCGTGGCATGTGGGATCTTCTCGGACCAGGGATTGAACCTGTGTCGCCTGCATTGGCAGGCAGATTTTTTAAAAAATTAATTAATTAATTTATTTTTGGCTGCGTTGAGTTTTCGTTGCTGCATGCGAGCTTTTTCTAGTTGTGGCGAGCAGGGGCTACTCTTCATTGAGATGCGCAGGCTTCTCATTGCAGTGGCTTCTCTTGTGCAGAGCATGGGCTCTAGGGCGCAGGCTCAGTAGTTGTGGCTTGTGGGCTCTAGAGCGCAGGCTCAGTAGTTGTGGCACGCGGGCTTAGTTGCTCCATGGCATGTGGGATCTTCCCGGACCAGGGCTCAAACCCATGTCCCCCGCATTGGCAGGCGGATTCTTAACCACTGAACCACCGGGGAAGTCCTGGCAAGCGGATTCTTAACCACTGTGCCATCAGGCAAGTCCCAAGAAAACATTTTTAATCTTACAGTACAGTACGTTGAACAGTACCGTAGTACAGTACAACAGCTGGCATACAGGGCACGTGCGCATCTTTGAAAGCTTACAACTTGGAGGTTAGTATGTAGGGGACTTACTGTAAACTTTGTCTAATTATATTTCCTCCCAAAGCAGCTAAAAAATGTTTCACCAAATTTAATAGTTCTTTGCTGCCCAATTTAAAAAAAGAAAGGAAAAACTAAGCTTGTATGTACAATCATGCTTAAATACAAACTAAAGATGCTTAGGGACTTCCTTGGTGGTCCAGTGGTTGAGAATCCATCTTGCAATGCAGGGGACACCGGTTCGATCCCTGGCTGGGGATCCCACGTGCCGTAGGGCAACTAAACCCACGCGCCGCAACTACTGAGCCTGAGCGCCACAACTAGAGAGAAGCCTGCGTGCCGCAACTATGACCCAACACAGCCAAAAATGAATAAATAAATACATTTTAAAAATAATAATAATATAAAAACAAAATAAAGATGCTTATTCAGGAAAATGTCCTCATGTCTGGTAGAGAAGACGTGTGCAAGGCGAGGCTGGAGCTCAGACACATGGGCTCTTTGAAATCTGACTTTCCTGCCCCGCTTCTTCCTTAGTTCAGCCCAGAGCTTCCCCCAGAGGCCTCTGCTCTTGCACTTCAGCAGTACTAACCTTTGAAATGAAATCTGTGATGCTTCTCACCAGAATTTGTAAAAGACAAAGGCGAAGAAACTTTCCTCATTACACGGGGAGCAGTGCCGCCCTGCCCTGCCTCTTAGCCTCAAAACAGCAGAAGAATTAAGGGAAGCTGGTGAAAGGACTTTCAAGTCCAAGGTCACAGGCCCTTCCTTGACAATGTGCGGTACATCTGATTCCAAGGGGGTCTAGTATTCTGGCAAGATAGTGGTCACTCACTTTTAAAGGGTCATGAACGATGTTGAGGCTAGGAGCAGACTCACGCTGCCATTTCTCCTGACTCTCTTCCTCCAGTGGAAAATGGAGCCGGCATAACTTTGACAAGATGAGGGAATTCTCTCGGTCTAGCTAACCTGGTTTTATCATTTTGGTTTTCAATGGGAGCTCACGGTGTGAAGGGAAAGATTTTAATTTGCAGTGTTAATCGAGACAGCAGTAATTCACGGTTCTGCTCTACCGAGCAGTCGAGTCCAACCTCGGAAGTCCAAACCAAGTGACCACGATGAACCAGTGCTGCTGGCGGCGTTGGCGCCGGGTGGCTGGCAAGGCTGGCCCTCACTTGCCCTTCATTCTTTCTCTCCGCCCATCAGCAGCAGTCCCTCTGGATCTAGAAACCCAGGCAGCCCTCGGCCTGTTGCAAGCGGTGGGATTGGGGCCCAGCTGAATGCAGGCAGAATGTGTTACTCAGCACACACGCGGGATGGTGCAGCCCCCTGTGTGGCTCCCTCTGCCACCTGTGCTTGGAGGGACGATGGCCAGCACCGTCCCCTCCCCACTGGCCAGGGTGCTCGGGAAGCTGCAGCCGGGCCTGGCTGCTCTGCTCCTTTCGGGGGTCACCAGTCTGTGTCCACCACTTGGCCTCCCTGACACCCCACGGCTGGAGCGCACTTCCCCGCCCCTCCTCTGCGAGCCACCAACACTGGGAGCCGGAGAGGAGCCTGGCAGTCTAAACGCATTCCACTGAGTGCCGAGTTTCAAGAGCTTTCTGGAAACAGTAGAGCTAACATCGGTGGAGCGGGATTGTGTCCAGGCCCTGGGCCAGGCACTTCTACCTCACCTCGTTGAATCCTCTCAGCAGCCCCATTTGATAGGTATACAAGTGTCTCCATTTCGCAGATGGAGAGACTGAGGCACGGAGAGAGGAAGGAGCGTGCCAAATGAAACAGTGGCAGAGCCGGGATTTGGACCTCAGCGATCCAAGCCTCAAGCCCAGTCCCGGGGCCCGCACCCTGCCAGGAACCAAGGGCCAAGGCCCCGCTGTCCCTGGCTCTGTGCTGTCTCCCTCCAGGCCCTGGGTGCCGGGGGTGCTGCACTTCAGAGGCTCAGTTCCCAGGGACAAGAGGCCCCCACGGGTGAGGGTGACAAGAGGGCTTCCTCACGGTCCCACTTCAGGCCGAGGTGCCCAGATCCCCCTCCTAGGCCCAGCCCTCCAGGAGGGGGGATGGCAAGTTCTCCTAATGAGCCCGCGCCTCCGCCATTGCTGGGTGCTCACTGCTGCCTAAGCATGGGAGACGGGCGGCTGGCATTCAAGGCGGAAGACGGGGCAGACGCAGGCGAGGGCTCGTCCAGCCTTCCCAGAGGCAGGCTCAGGTCCCCGCTCTCGCCCCTCTCAAAATCTCTCCAAACGATATCACGCACCTCTGGTCTATTTCTCTGCAGCTGCCCACCCCCACACCCCAGCCTGCCTCAAGGATCAGATTTCAGGCTTTTTTGTTCTTATTCCAACTGGCCACCATCCTCATCCCTCCTCGCCGCCATGCTACACTCCCAGCTCTGCAATCGCACGTGCACCCAGGGCGCCCTTGCTGCCTCTTGCTTCCCCGACTCTTCCAGAGCACAAGTCTCATCTCCTGGACAGAACTGTTTCTGTCTTTGAGTAAATGTCAGTTCCTCAGCCAGTGGCTGATAAGTCCAATTGAAGTCCTAACCGTGATGTTCACAACACCCTACGGTATCCTCAATGGTTTTCAGCGAGAAGGGGCATTCCATTATGGAAACAAAATTCATTTTGCCTCGCTTCGATTAAAAACAGAGAGGAGTCACACAGCCTTGGGAGTAGGGTGGGGAATACAGTGAGGAGATGTGGGGGCCTTGGAAGTCACCACACCAGGGCTGGGTGTCACAACTCCATAGTCCCTTCCTTAATAATTCTAGGTCCACCTCCCTTATCTGTAACTTCAAGCCCCAAAGCTCTGCAAACCTATTTTAGTTCTGTAAATTCGGTGCCAAAATTTATTTGGGAACAAAACTTGACCTGGGCTTCGTTAAATATTCATATTTCTCTGCAAAAATAATAAAATGTGCCCCAGATTCCACCGGAGGGTTGTGTCATATTTGCTATATGCACCATATTACTTTTCTAAAGTCCCCAAAGTTCTGAATTTGGAAACGCGTCTGACCCCAGGGCTTCCAGATCCAAGTCCGGGAGCCCACGCCTGCCGTGCCTGGGTGCGGAGTGTTGGCCGGGCAGGGGTCTGAGCGGTATCGGTTCAGCATCTCCTGTCTTTCAAGGCCCTACGCGGTGGGGCCCATCCCTTTCCCCAGGTGCAGCTGAGGCTCAGGGGGCTTAAGTGACACTGCTCCTGGCACAATGCCCACTTAGAGTTGGTGTCCGGACTTGAACCCCAGTCTGTCTGCCTCCAGCGCCCCTGCCATGCTGAACTGCTGCCCTGATGCCAGATGGCATTTACCTCTTACCTTCAGGGCAAGCAAGCGGGTCACTGAAATTGGATCACTCACGTAACTGGTAAAGTGAAATCCCCCAAGCTGAGAAAGGCTAGTCTGAACATAAGAATGAGCTCCTTGCGGCAGCTGGACTTGGCATTTCTGGTTTAAGATGAATGCCCAGTCCTTCCATGGTAACCGCTACCGTCCACGGAGGTGCGACGAGCTAGTCAACGCCGTCCAGGGGGTAACGAGTGTTTCCCGAGGCTCAGCTTGGCCATCAGTAAAACACAGCAAGTTCTCCCTGCTGGGAGCAAGAAGCATGTACTTCCTCACCACGGGGGCCTCAAACACTCGCCTCTTCCTTTCTTCCACCTTCTCCTGGCCAAGTGACCAGAGCTGGGTTCTTAGGCCTTAAACTGAATGCAGAAAGGCCATGGGAAGGAACAGCGGAGCTGCTGACGTGCCCGTTTGGAGGCTTCGTCAGTGCATTTTGGCTAAAAGAATGCCGTGCACGGAGCAGGGTGCTGGGAAGCGGGGCGGAGCCAGCGTGAAAGCGCCGAGGCGGCCCGTTCCCCTCGCCCAGCGGGCCTGCGGTGGGCTAGGCGGGGCAGGGCCTGGGACAAGAAGAGCCCACGAAGCTAGTGAGCCCCGCCACTGCCGTCCATCTCACTGGCAGGCGTGGGGTCTGGAGACAGCACTGCTCATATTCTGTCCTGACACAGCCCCAGGTTTGAGAACCACCTTAGCCCCCAGGAAACAGATCTGGAGACTTAGGACGAGGAGTCAGGCTTTCGTTGGCAGGTTTTGCGCCAGGCTCTGTTTGGAGTGCTTTTGACGCGCTGAATCGACGCTTTTAATCCTCAAACAACCTACCATCACACCCACTTTGTAGAAGAGGCAACAGTTAGGAGGTCAAGGCAGGAACAGAGGGCTCTGGAGGCCCCCGTGCGTGGGGTTACAAGTGTGGGCTCTCTAGCCGGACTCCCTGCTCTGGCCCCGACTTGCTGTGTGACTGTGGGCAACTCTGGGGACTTCTCTGTGTCTCAGTCTTCTCAACTTTAAAGAGAATGATAACAGCCCCTACCTCTGAGGACTAAGACAAGAAAAGGCAGGTGAAGTCCCAGGTAGCACACTCAGCCCCTGGGCACTGGCCAGTGCTGGCCGGGAAGGCAGCTCCTGGCGGCAAGAGCATCCCATCGGGGAGCCCAGCCTCTTGCCTCTGTCGGTGGAGATCACCTGAGCCCCTCCTGACCTGGGGAGCTTGGCTGCATGCGCTTTCTCCCGGACACTTTCTCCAGCCCCACCTAGGGAATCAGTCGGGTGTGATTCTCACGACCCTAATCATTAAGGCTTCTCTCTGTGAGCCAGCTGGTCTGGCTCCGAAGCAACAGTCAGGCTACACATGTTCCCCACTGAACACAAAAGAAACCAAAAAGGCTCACAATGTTAGACGGTGACACGGCTCCGGGCTGAGGCTCTTTCCTGCTAGGATAAGGGCTCCAGTGCTGAAGCTGGCACTCCCCCAAGCCAGCTGCAGAAGTCCACGAAAACAGCTGGCAACAGGCCTATAACAAAACCAAACCAAAGTGCTCCTGAACTGTGGACAAGGGCCGGCCGCTCACCCTGGCCACCCCCACGGGCGCTCCCCTCGAAGGACCGACCCCTGGCGTGGAGTACTCTGCCTGGTGATACTTCACGAGACCTGGATGAAAAAGACACGGTGTCTCTCCTCCGGGGACTGCCACGGCCATGGTCATCCAGGGCCCTCAGCAAAGAGGTCAGCCCCCACTGGGAGCTTCCCTTGGGCCACATTCCCAGACAAGCACTTTACGGCCACCTACTCCTTGGCTTCTCTACAGAAGAAGGATGCAGAGTGGGAGGCGGAAGTGCAGAGGACAGCTGGGGCAAAGCTTCCCGGGGGCGGGGGGTGATAGTGACTGAGCCTTAGGACCTGTAAGAGTGGGACAGGAGAGCAAAGGTGGGCAGGGAAGGCCGGACACAGGCAACAGTGGGAGCCAAGGCCAAGGGCGCAGAGTGGGCCAGGAGTTGCAAGCACTTTGGGGCCCGAGGGACACCGAGTCTAAGGAGGTAGATGGAGTCACAGCTTACGGGCCTCCAGAATCTTCCGAGCAAGTGTGAACATGGTCAGGTCCGTGTCACAGCAAGGTAATTCTCAGAGAAACGGATGGTTTATTGGAACAACCAGTTTAAGAATCAACTGTACGAGTTCGGACGAAGAATCAAGAGGGCCTGAACTCGGGCAGGCCTGAGAGCAATGGAAAAGAGGAAGCACGAAAGACGGTATTCGGGGCAGGGAGACATCTGACGTGGTCCCCAGGGATCTCTGGTACCCTCCCCAGCCTGTAATCCCCTGCCGGTACTCACATCTTCATGCTCGCGTCTAATGAACAGAATACTGCACACGTGATGCAATGTCACTTCCCAGGCTAGGTTATACAGACTGTGACTTCTGACCTGCTGGCACTCCCCCTGCCTCTCTTCCTGGCACATTCTCTCTTGCTTGCTCTGACGAAGCTGGCTGTCATGTTGTGAGAGGCTCTATGAAGAGGTCCACGTGGCAAGGAACCAAGGGAGGCCTCTGGCCAGCAGCTCATGAGGGACTGAGACCTCAGTCCAACAACCCACAAGGAACTGCTTCCTGCCAACAACCACAGCAGTGAGTCTGGAAGCCAGTCCTTCCCAGTTGAGCCTTAAGATGACTGCAACCTTGTGAGAGACCTGGGGCCAGAGGGCCCTGCTAAGCTGTGCCAGGACTCCCAGCCCCCAGAAACTGTGAAGTTACATATGTGTCTTGTTTTAAGCAGTAGTTACGGGCTAACTTGTTACGCGGCCATAGGTAACTAATACAGGCAGGGGTCAGAACAAGTGAAAAGTGGGAACTATGATAGACACTGCCCAGGGAGAAGTAGCTGAACTGAGTGACTGACAAGACTGTAGGAGATGAGAGAGACATCATGGGGATTTTGAGAAGAGCACGGGCTCTGGAGCAAGCCCGCCTGCCTTCAAGTTGCTGCTGGGCCTCTTGCTAACTGTGTGACTCTGGGCGAGTCATTTCAACACTCTGAGCCTCAGTTACTTCGTCTGTAAAACGGGGATGGTAAGAGTAACTACCTGACACGTCTCTGACAGTTTCATTTAGGACCTGCCTCAGCACCTGGTGCAGGGGTGGATGGCACGCTGCCGCTGCCCAGCAGACGTTTGCTGTGACACTTCTAGAAGGCTCGGTGTGCAGCCTCATGCCAGCTGGGAGAAAATTTAAATGCTTCAGTGCCATTTCTTTGCATCCTATGAAGGCTTCACTGGTCCTGGGTGAGGGGACGTGCCTCACAGCCCAGTTCTGTGTGATTCTGACTCGTCTGCCCTGGTTCCTTCCCCTGGCGGCACCTTGTGGGTGAACTTTTCTCCCAGGGAAGCTAAGCAACCTGCACAGGAACTGAAACCCTAACCTTGACCTCATGAATACTGCGCTTCGACTGCGCAGAGTAAGTTGGCTTCAATAGACTTTTCCAGAGTGAAGTCCACTCTCAAAGAGGGCTACAGCCTGGATCTGCCTCCAAAGGCGGCTCTCAATACATGAGACGTGGTTCTTATTTCCAAAACCAAGGGACGCAATCAGAGATGAGACCGGCTTACCTGTCTGGGCAGAGAAGGCATGGAATCCGAGGCCACCGACCGCTGAACACGCTGCGGCTGCTGCGTCACGTGCTGCAGAAGGAACGAAGCGGCGTCCGGCTGCTGCTGCAGCTGCAGGCTGGCTGTGGCCGTGGACGAGGCCGTGGCAGAAGAGGCCGGCGTCAGCGTCGGCTGCTGCAGGTAGTGGAGCAGGGCAGGCTGCCGAGACGCGGCGGGCACCGAGGGCATCTTCGGGGGGCCCGGCTCAGAGACGAAATGTGACAAGGGCTTGGTGTGGCCGAAAGGAAAAGGCTCCGGGGCTCCCGGGCTGGGGGCGGCCAGCCCCTGCTGCATGATCAGGCTCAGGGTTCTGGGCGAGCTGGTGGCCATAGGCTTGAGGAGGGTACTGGCTGGCGGAGGCGGAGGTGGCGGCAGCTGCAGCTGCGGCTGCTGCGGGCCGAGCGGATTGCTGGTGGGAGTGAGACTCCGGATCAGGGGGCACTGTGGGGTGAAGGACTGCTGCGGCAGCCCGGGGCTGGACAGCTTCTCTGGGCGGTAGGGAGTGGAGGGCCCCGGGTTGCTGGTGGGCAGAGTGGATATCAGGTGCCCTTGAGGCTGTTTGATGGTGGAGGACACCAGGTTGGCAAGGATGGAGGGCTGCGGGCTGAACTGCGGCTGCTGCTGGAGCGCGGGGCTGGGGAGCTTCTCGGGGGCATAGGTCATGGCCGGCCCCAGGGCAGCGCCGCTGCTGGGCGCCACGCTGGACAATAAGGCATTGGGAGAGCCCTGTAGAGCGCTCGCCGGCAGGCTGCTCGATGACATGCAGGACACCATGAGGCCCTGAGGGCTGAACGGCTGCAGCGGCTGTGGTGAGGGCAGCGGGCGGTAAGGCGGGGAGAGGCCGGGAAGAGGCAGGCCGGACCAACTGGGAGCGGGGCCCTGCTGCTTCGTACTACAGCCCTGCTTGCTGGCTGCCAGCACCTTCAGCTGGTGGGCGTGATGCCACTGAGGCACCGGGAGCGGTGGCAAGGCAGCCGCAGGGAGCGGCGCCTGGACCTGGCTCTTGGCCTGTGCTGTTGAAGAACTGGGGGAGACCATCTGCTTACTGGTGGAGGGAATGACGTAGCTGATCCCCGCAGAGGAGGGCGGGATTTGAAGCGACACCCCCGGGACCTGGCTGCAACTTGAAGCGAAGTCCTTGCTGGAACCAAGGCTCTCCAAGTGTGGCATCTGAACCGCAGGCTTGGGAGTCACGCCTAGGGTTGCCGGGGGGTGATCTAAGACCAGCGGTTCTTCCGGCTTGCTCCCCAGGATTTTTTCAAGGTCGAGCTCACTCGGAGAAGGTTCTTGAATTTTTGTTAGCTCCTCCAGCAGATCTTGAAGCTCCTGGTCCACAGCAGGCACAGTGTTGGTCTTGTCATAGTAAGAAAGAGGGGGGCCTTTCAGTCCCATTTCCGCAGTTGGTGGTACCACAAACGGTGAGCCCATTACGCTGCCGTTCATGGGGTTATTTTCGAGAAGTAATGAATGACCAGCCGCTCCCATCGCTGCAGAGCCAGGGTTCATGGGTAACGCAGGAACCTGCAGCTCTGCACAGGCTGTGCTGGGATGATGGGCGCCGGGGCCCATCGAAAGCGTGACGTCTTCAAGGCATGGTCTCTTAATTTTATTAGGGTAACCTCCTTCGGCCATGCCTGAAAGCTGGAAAGTTTCTCCTTCCTGCCTCCTCTTAATGGTTCCCTGTGGCTGGAAGAGAAAAGAGGGATGGGAAGGAAGGGAGGGAGGGAGGGAGGGAGGGAGGGGGGAGAGAGGGAGGGAGGGAGAGGGAAGGGGGGAGGCAGAGGAATGTTTATAAAGGCTTGGCACTTTAAAGCTATTGAACAGGAAACTTGCAAGATAAAACAGATCTCTCAGTTTCAAGACTTAGAAAGAGTTGTCAAAACTATACAATACAGCCTATTTTTAGAACCATGATGCTTGTTGTTTTGTTGCTGTCTTTCATTTAGACTGTTGCGTTACAGTTCAAATAAAGCATTATGCTGTCTCTACACCAAACACTACAGAAAGTCACGCGAAGGATATTCTCTGCCCACTTAAAGGAGCTTTCAGCGGAACTATGCAGACATTGGAGGGCAAAGGAGAATCGCTAAGAAACTTGCAATTCCCACCTGTCTACTGCTAACCTGATTTTTAAAAAGGAAAAGCGTGACGTAGACGTTGAACTTTTAGGTTGCTTCCCTGTCTCGGTTAAATGCATCAGGCTTTAGTGAGTGAGAAAATGGGATAAAGCAGAGGCTTTGGAGGAGCAAAGTAAATCTGGCGTGTTCTTTTGGGCAGCTGTCTGAGAGACACTGTTTGGAGCGTAACACAACTGCGTAACAGTCACTATAGCACGGTTCCATTGATCTGTACACACACACACACACGTGCATGCACATACACACACATTTCTACGAGTGCACAAAAACACCTTGGAAGAAAGTATATGCAACTCTTTGGAGTAGTCGTCTTTTGGGGGTGACTGGAAACTCACTTTCTGTTCTCTGTATTTTTATATAGAAGCTTGTTTTTAATGGAATGACTTACACTCCTCCACCAAAAAAGCATAAAGCTATCTAATTAAGAAATGCCTCTGTGCAGATGTATCCTCAGGTCGGGGAGATAGGAAACAACAGGAAAGGGCCCCGATCTGTGATCTGCACTGGGGGAACTGCCCGCCATTTATAAAAGCCTAGCCTTTGGGAGCAAATCAAAGAAGTTACTGATGCAGTATTTCCTACACTTTCAAGGCTTCATACAGTCATCCGTGGCTGTCTTGTAAATGACCATGACCTGCAGTGAAGGGGAAGGGAGTGGAGCGCAGGATTATGTGTGGGAGGAGATGGGCTTGGAAATCGCCTAAAGGCCAGCGCTCTACCCGATCCATTTCCCCTGAAGCACTTTTGCACGAAGAAACCTCTTTCCAGCTTTGAAGTCTTACTGGGACATCCGGTGCGGATCCCCTGACGTCCCCTTACGCTTGCCTCACTGGAGGGTCAAGGCGTGCGCGAGGGCCACCTACTAGCACGACAGTGGTCATGACTCTTACAGCAGAGTGAACGTCAAGAGATCCCCTAGGGCTGCACATCTGGAGCCTTGGCAGCCATCAGATGCACTTAGAAACCCCCAGATTCCCAGGCTCTCCTACCACAGCTGAACTGCTTCAGTCTCCTCCGGGCCGGGGCCCAGGAACCCAAGGTTTGTTACGGCTCCCTGGCTGGCTCTCAGTGGACTGCCAGCTTGAGAGCACGGGTGCAGGCAGGGTGGCCTAGGGCCCTGGTCCCGAGGCAGACGCAACCACTACGTATTGGTCTCCGCACAGAATCTCTTGAGTTCTGTTTCTTCATTTGTAAAATGAGTGTCATTTTAGTGCTCATCTCATGATGCTGCTTGGACTATTACACGAAACGGGACGGATTCCGTGGTACCTAGAGGACCCTCATTAACTAGTATCTGGCATTACAGAGGGCAGATCTGGAAGTGCTCTGGGAGTCCAACCCTGGCCTTTAAAGACAGGGAGGGACCCTGAGACCCTGGGATGGGCAAGGCTTGCCCCGAGCAGCTCAGCTAGAGGGCCCCAGGGCCTGCCACCGTCACTCGGCTGTTCCCCGACCCGCAGCCTCCATCCTCCCCCACTGACCGCCCCATCCCCGCAGAAAGGGCTCCCCCTCTCTTAGCGAGGGGACGTGCCTACTTCTCTGCCTTTCCTTGTGAGATGTCCACCACCCGGCCAAGGGCACTTTGAGGGGCAGGTCCGCCACCAGATTCATCTGAGGTCTGACTACCACCGGGCAGGCAGGAAGGGGTTGGGGGGTGAGGTCGAGTAGGCACAGGAAGAGGTCTCTCCAGTCATCTGCTCCACTCTCCCGCCCAGGAGCGCTCACTAGGTATTTGGCCCACGGCAGGTGCTCAGTAAACAGAAGCTGAATGAATCCATGGACCAATGAACACAGATGACTCAGCGCCCAGCGAGCTCTGCCTCGTGTTTTCCTGGCCGTTCATTCAATCAATCATGGGCCACAGAGAAGTCACTGCATTTCAGGCTGAAATTTGGTCTCTTCTACGTTCTCCCAAAGACTTAAATCCATTATATTGAGAACAGAAATGTCTAAAATGGATCAGTAAGGAACGACTCAGTGTGGGCTTTACATAGGATCCCCTGCTGGGGTCTGAGCTGGCGATGGCCGTGCCCAAGGCGCTGTTCGTGATGTCTTGGACTCGAGGAGAGTTTAATGCCAGTGAAGTCTGCATAGGACCAGGCGGGGGAAGGATGGGCTTGGGGGATGGGAGGGAGGGCAGGAGCTGTGAGTTGGACCGGCCTGGACTCCCTGGCAGATACTAGGGCTTTCATTTAATTGTTGGTCTGCCATTATCCCGTTGGGACTAAGGTGGTAGGAGGTGGGGAAGGTGGGACATGACCCCCAGATGCTAAAGTTAATACTGGGAACCACTGGCGAAGGAAAAGGGTCTCCAGCCCTCTGAAGTGAGAGTGTGTGCCCCCGACTTTTCAGGCCCTCAACCCCACAGCGGACCCCAGGATGCCCCTGCGAGGTGCTGGGGGCTGCCGTGCTGCTGGTGGACACCATCTGCTGGAGCAGGTGCTACCCTTGCTGTGCCAAGCCTGCAGCCCGACGCCGCTGGTGCTGGCTTCCCTGAATGCTGTGGGAGGCTCCCTAGTCAGCGGGCAGGCTGGCCTTGCTGTCCCTGGGGGTGCAATGGGGGGCGCTGGTTGACGCCGCAGTCTCAGCGGTGGGGCAGGCAGGAGCCTCTTCCCAGCTTTGCTTTCTCCGTGGACTAAACGAGACTCCACTTTGCTAGAGGCTGCAGCTCTGCATTTCGGATTTCACTGGGGAGGGCTTTCAACAGATTGCCTAAAGCACCTTGGCCGGATGGCCGGATCCCCAGGCAAGCCTCAACAAGCCGAGGGGAGGCGGCTGTGTTGACATCTACTACGAGTTCATTTCGCCCCTAGACCCAGGCTGCGGCCACCACCGAGGTCAACCTGTCTGGGCTGTTGGGCTTGACTGAACCCCGTGGCCACCCTTCTAGATCAAGTGCAGCAGAGAGCTTGCTACCCCGGAATGACTTCCCCTCTCAGCATCACGTTGGTGGTGGCAGGTCCCCACCAAACTTCCAGACCCTTCTAAACAGCTTTACCTATGTGCCGTTTTCCAGTCTCTGTGGACTCTGTACAGCAAGCTATGGGTCCCAGCTCCCGGCCAGCCCCTACTTCCTTCAGGCCTTGTACTACACGTGACCCTGCCCACTCACTGGGAGAACATTTGTTTTTTGTTTTTTTTTACCATAAGTGAATCAGTAGCCACTAGCAGGATTGCTAGACAACACGTCAACCTTCACTTTTTACAGAAAACAGAATGGGTGGTGATTTGCTTGTGGTCCCATGGCTAGTTAGGGGCCAACACCAACACTAGACCCCAGGAGGCCCAGCCCTCACAGGTCCGGGCAGTGGTAGGGCGGGGAAGGGGAGTGAGGGACGGTGTCCTGGTGTCTTTTAGAAAGGAATGACTTTATCTCCATGCACCAGTGCCGGCGGAGTCCCATTTCATAATCGGGCAGACAAAGCCACCAATGTGATCCCCACGACCTTATAAACATTCATTAAAATGCATTTCAAAGCATGTGATGCCTTCCCCACCCCCTAAATAATGAGAAAACAAAGGCAACCCTTCTGATAGAGGCCAAGTTCAGCTCTGAAGTCAACATTATTTCTGGTTCTGTCTGAACAATGACATATGGCAATTCTTCCCTTTCTACAGTTTTTTAGTCCAGAATGGCAAAAAGGGCAAAGCTTTCTTGGGAAAGGGTCTAGATTACAAGAGTACAGTCCAGGCTCAGAAAATGGGCCTAAGGAGAAGAACATATATATATATATATATATATATATATATATATATATATAAATAAAACTCTTTCCAAAGAAGTCTGGCAGGTTGCTATAAACACTTGATTTTGAACACTCTAGCTGGAGTTTTATCACAGACATCTACAAAAGGCCAGCAAAATTATGCACAGTCCCTCCTGGGTAAGAATGCAGGAAGCCGAAGGTGTGCAGGACAGATTGGCTCAGGGAGCCTCGTTTTTCCCTCCAGAGAGCCCCGGGCAAGATTGTCCAAAAGCTGGAAATTGCCTGTGGTGTATTTAGTCTCCCCTTCCTCTGTCAGTAGCGCCTCCTGCGGTGCAGCCCCGGCCAATCTGCTTCTGCTTCTGCTTCTCTCAGTGTCTCTCACACGAGCCCACCCATGCTCCATCAACACCTTTCCTCCGTACTGTTACACATGCTCCCTGGGAGTTTCCAAGAAGCTCACGCTGGCCAACTAGCTGGGATTTCAAGCCCTCTGAGACAGGAGTGTTCCCCGGTAGACTTGCTCAGAAGAAAGGAGAACAGATGAGACACGATGCAGCAGGACTGGGTTTGCAGGAAGAGGGACAAGGAGGGAAGGAGGGAGAGAGAGGGAATCTGCCTGCGTGTAGACATGGGATCAGATGAGCACCGACAACTGCCTGTACTTGAGCTGGTGTATCATTTGCACGGTTGTTTTCCAGAACGAAGTCCCCACAAACGGGTCTTTCTGTAGAACAAACAGGACTTTCAGCATTTACAGAATTGCAAGACCTGAGGTTCTGGAGAATCCCAGAGTGGATGGGAACTGCAGGGAATCCTGACTGGCTTCAAGAGGAGTCGGTTT